TCATATTATTTTCAAAATTAGAATTGTGACTTATACCTTATTTTTACTTTCTTTTTTTCAAATATTATTTTGTGGTATATTTTTTGTTGGGTTTTTCCGAAGGGTTAATAATAGGAAGATTATTATAAATAGGATCCGAGTCAATTATATAAGAAAATATGACATCACATTTAACCTATAACCTTAAGACATTAGGTTATAGATATTTCTTGCTAATAAATTACTTAACTTTCCCATTTCTACCCAATATGAGACTCCAAACACACTTGAATTCTCAACAATCTCCCTCTCAAGTGTAATTCCCGTTCACATTGGTACACATTCCCCTTGAGCGGAAGCATTGAGTGACCTTACTTGTACCGTCGTTCAACTTAACGAGATTCGTTTGCCTGAATACCTACTCATACTCAACTGAGCCGATCACCGTTAGGAATTAGAGTAACCGCATAAGAACTCATAACTAAAATAAACATAAGAAAAGAGAAACATAACCAAAAATATGCAATAATAAAATTTTACTATTGAAAGAAATTATAATACCCTTTTTAAATCTAAGAAGAAAATAATAATAATATTCTTTCTCAAAAATAAGAGAACTAAACTATTATGCAATACACTAGTAAAAAATGCACTAGTAGAAAGGAGAAAGAAGAGATTTGGAGTGATTTACAAGGTAGACATGATGCACTTTTTATAATAAAAAAAATAAGTATCAACATATAATTTCTTTGATGTAGGACTTGTCATTACTAACCGACTGTTATAACATCTGCTAGGTTCTTCTTATTTTATCCTGAAATACGAGTCATGATTCCTTGCAATGTACAAGACATCCTGATTGTCCCAATACACAACAATTTGTTGTTGCTTGTGCCCAAGTTCCTCAATTATCCTCTTAATCCAAATAGTTTCCTTACATGTCTATGTGACTGCCATGTATTCAACTATAATTGGATAACCAATTATTGTCTCTCTAACAAAGGTAAACTCATCAATATTACATGTAAAACTTGAACAAACATAACATCTGATAACTATCCAAGGTTCCTTTAATAAAAATTTTCTTGATAATACTCATGCTCTCCACTACGATTTGTCATTAATCTACTAACTCTTCCCTTTCCCATTTATACCTAATATGAAACTTCAAACACACTTGCATTCTCAACAATCTTCCCCTTAAGTTTCGAATGGACTTATAACAACAGAAATTCTCACAAATGGGACCTGAGCCAACCATATAAGAAAATATAATACTACCTTCACTCAAAATTTTAAGACAATAGATTATGAGTCTTTTTCACTTATAAGTTACTTAACTTTTTCATTTCTACCTAATGTGAGACTTCAATTCATACTTGAATTCTCAACATTTCTTTGTTACCTAACTTAACTATTTCTGATATAAAATTTTGGTTATGTTAATTGTGAGCTTATTATATTATTTTTGTTTGAACGGTTTAACCAATAACATGTCATTGATGACAAATAAAACACACATTACTACCTATAATATGGATATATGTAGACTCATGCTGACGAATGGTTAAGTTTACTTGAGGAAGTTATACGACATGAGTGAAAACAACTACGTATTATTTTTAATATATAGCTAATACTTCTTTCAAGGTAATTATTTTTAAAAGGTCATACACACCTAATACTTTATATATGCATGGTGAGAACAATTACTTTAATTTACCGTGAGACTTACCACGTCTAAACAAAACAAGTCACCTTGGTTTGATTTTTATTATCATCTCATCTTTATATAACATAAAATTTATTTCCTTAATTGTCATCCTTATAATGGATTATTAATTTGTAACCATCATCTTTTTAATATGACTTATTGGAAGATAGATTTAAAACTATCTTACTCTAAAAAACCTATAAGGTGTGAACATTTGATCAAACACGTAGTCAATAAAATCAATAAAGGATAGAATTTGTCTTATTAATCAATTGAACGAAGGCAAGGAACTTATGTTATAAGAGCCCTTCAAGTAATACTGTAAATTTTTTTGTTTGAATATTATACAAAAGTTTTTATTATGGGATTTTAGTTTATGTAATAGTATTTGGTTCTGTAATATGTCTGTGGTGGTGTTTTCCATGAACTTTATATTTTTGAGCAACTCTTTTTTCTTTTAGTAATAGCAAAACAATATTAATTATTATTCTAAACGTTGTTTTATGTATCTTTCATTGACATCATCTTTGATTGTGTTATGAATGTTGTCCCAAAAATGCATATTTGTTTGTAACATTGAATAACCAAAATATATACTACGTAATAAAAAAAATGTTGTATAAAAATGAAATCAATGTATATTATATTACATAAAGAAAGCAAAGACCTTGAACCAATAAAGGAATAATTCCCCATAATATTTAATATTGTGTCAAATAAACATATAATTGATTTTGATGAATTAGTGTATTTGCTACCACTTAGTAATTTTCAATATAGATGTCTTAACCCACTTGATAATTTGAAACAATAATGAAACCAAAACATTCACAAATTATAAACAAAAATAAGTTTTACGATCGATATAATACGATAAAATTTATCTCTATTTTTATTAATAAAATTTTTACATTAAAATAGAATATAAACAAAATATATATATAATTTTGTAAAAAAACTCATCATAACTAAAAAAAATTATTATAAAAATAATAATTATACTAATAACAAATATCATGTTTACACAAAAGTTTATAAATAAATAAAAAAGTTACATTTGTAAGTGTTTATACAAAATTTGTTTTATATTTTTATTTTTGATAAACTTGGCTACTTTTTAATGAAAAAAAAATGTTTTTTTAGTAGAAGTATTTAGGCTGTATTTTTAGTGAAACATAATATGGTTGTGTAAAGAAAATTCTTAGACCTTTAAATTTATCGAAATTTAAGAATTGCATTGAGTTTATTTATGTAATTAAGCAGCAAAAGAGTTCAGAAGGACTTAAATTTAATAGATATAGGTGTTTTTTTTTCTATCTTACAATATCTTTTGTTACGTTAACAGAATTACCCAATATAGGATTATTTATACTTGATTTAGAAGTCCAGTATCTACATCGGTGAAAATGACGAGTTTCAAAGGGATAAAAATGTGATAGCAATGATTTTTCATGCATAATGGAAGCTATTATTTTAATAGTGTACACGTTTATTGATTTTTTTTCTCTTTAAATATTCTTTCAAAACAGTTGAGAGTGAACTTCTGTTAACCTTCACTCCAATCAATAATAATAATAATAATAATAATAATAATAATAATAATAATAATAATAATAATAATAATAATAATAAATAATAATAATAATAAAATGATAAATAGCGAACTTCCACTAAATTTTGCCAAACAACTATATGACGGTTATAAGTGGATGATTGCTTTCAGATTTCCTTATTTGTCCCGTCTTGTTTTTTTGCCGGTAAAAAATGGAACGCTGATGGATTCTAGTGATGATAAATTATAGATTTTGGTCAATTATATTAAAAGTGTACTGGTATGTCATAATTTAAAATAAATAAATTAAATTATTAATAAATTTAATAATAAAAATATCATTTATTTATTAATAATTTTATATATATATATATATAATATTTAACTTAATAATATAAATTAACATATTATTTTAAAAAATTATAATTTAGAATAATAATAAAATTTATATAATAACAAATATATATAAATAATAAAATTTATATTTTTTATATTAAAAATTTTAAATATTTTTTTTATTTGATAAAACTTTACATTATTCTTCTATTAAATAATTTTTACACTCTTAATTTAAGACATAAGCATAAGAATAATGAAGGCTTAAAATAAACAAGAATGAGATGATGAACATTAAGAAAAAGAGGAGAGAAGAATTTATATTGAAATAAAGAAAATATTTCTACCATGAGTAAGAGTGAAATTTTTATTAATTTTTTGTTTAAATTTTCATTTTATAAATTATTTTTGTGAATAACTCTATTAAAATAAAAAAAATAATTTTTTATTAATTAAGGATTGCATATTGATCCGAACTGTCTTTTAGGTTGACCTAACGGACTTGATAGGCAAGTAAAAGTGGGTCAATAAATTAAAAACATCAACTTGTCCCGTCATATTTATAATGAATTATCTTATCGAATGTTATCCATTATTTTTTTATTTTATTTCATTCTATTAATAAGTGCATTATGTAATATTTTTAATTTAAAATATATTTGTGAAAACATTTGTCTGAAGTTTTTTTTTTTAATAATGTAAAAAATGTAACACATTATTTATTATTATTCACTGAAATCAGTGAAAAATAAAAAAGTGTGTAACTTTTTCATTTCACTTAACAAATCTTAGTAACATTTTATTGTTTTTTAGTTTAATTACTTATTTAGTCCCATATTATACAATATTTTTATATTTTAAAATTATTTTCTTATTTTAATTCTTTTTAGTTCTTATGAATATTGTTTTAATTTCTTAAAATAAAATTAAAATAGTATGTATACATATTAAAATGAATAATTTGTAAGTATAAAAAGTAAAAGGTAAATCTCTTTAGTTATAATATTAAATGAGTATTTAATCTAATTTTTTATAAACTTTAATCAATACAAAATGTTAGGTTTTTCTGAAAATATTAAATATAGTGGTCTTAAATATTAGATTTTCTGAATATTAATCAAACTTAATTTAATTACAATCACGAGATGGTTACATCATTTTGAAAACTCTTCTAGTTTGGGCTTAACTCAGTGTTAATAAAATAACTTCAACGGATAGTTCCGAAAAGCCCACCCTCTATATCAGAAACCCTAGTGTTTGGTGTCCATGGCAGCTTCTTGTACAAAACCCTACCAAAACCCTCCACCACCACTCTCTCAACACACACACACTATGCAAGAAATCGCTTGAACTCAGTATATATATAGCCCCAAACTCATCCGCAATTATTAGTGTTAGAGAAGTGTTGAATCAGCGAAAATGCCTCTCGGAGAAAGGTTAGGGGATAAGAGCGATTCTCGCTACTGTGGTGTGGAGACCGATTTCAACGATGACATGCCACACGTCTTCCATTTCAACTTCTGGAAGCTTCGATTTCGTTGTTGCTCCTTTGGTTCGTCTCCTTATCCTATTTTTCGATGCATTGCAATATTCTGCCATCACAAATTGTTGAAGTGAAGTAACAAGTGAAGATTATAGCGTTCGTGTTGTGTGTTTTATTCATGTGATAAGTTGAGTGAACGTGTGAACTGCAATGGAATTAAGTAAATTATGGTGGCCAATTAGCCACTCACACCGCAACTTTCTGTTGCGCCTTTGTGTGCGACTGGTCAGTAAGCTTACCTAAAGGAAATTGCTCAAAGGGGCCTTTTACAGTGAAGCAGCTCTACTATGGGGCCTTTTAGGGTTTCGTTGTGTGGCTCCATTGAACTACATTTCACAACATCTAGTCTTACCTTTGAAAGTTAAAATATCCATTGGCATCAGTTTTGCCATCTTTTGCTTAAAGAATAAACTTATTATTATCAGTTTTTGAGTAGACATGTAATGGTTGAACTTGTTCATGGTTTTAGGTGTGTTTTGTTTGGTCCCATGGTAGCTAATTATCCAGTCATATAGCAGCTTTTTGCTGCATTCTATATATGTCTGTCAGTAAGCTTACCTACTGTAATAATGTCTGATGCTATCCTGGCATGAACTTTTAATCAAGTTCCGAATCCGTGCCTACTGAAGGGGTTTAACTAGGACTTTGTATACTATCAAAGTTTTATGAAAACATTCATCATCCGTGACTTTGGCTGCAGTACCGAGGTTTTTTAAATTTCTGCAACCACAACTCATTGTGGCAACATCGTCTGCATTTGTTTACAAGTTCCTGCAATGTCTAATAGCTACCCCTGCTGATTTTAAAACAGTGCTTCTTAATGAACACTTTATTTCCTTTCATATGTTTTCTTTAGCTTGTGTAGTCTATCTTGCTATTGCTGACATTTTTTTATGTAGGTTTTCATTTATTAATAATATCTACATTGTTGAAGTATAGCTTTATTTTGTTGGGAAATGATCCTTTTCTTACTCCCTGTTTATCATATATGATTTTATCATACAATTCAGATGGATCCTTCTTATCGACCAAGTTTAATGTAAAAAGATGGTTTTGGGTCTGGTGTTCTGCCATTTGCTGGGTCTGACTTGGTCTTGTGTCCATCCCAATGGAGTAGTCATGTAGTGGGTATGAATTACCTATTATTTTTAACATTTTTATTTTTTAATTGATATTATGAACTTTTCATATTTTATTAAGAAATCTAATCTTCTACCTTTATACCTTTCCATATCATGGATTGAAAGCACATTGATTTTTTTGTTAATTTTGCAAGTCTGCATAGTTTGAAATTCCTGGACCAAAAGAAATTTCTTTCTTAGACTATTTTGTGTATTGCCATTAAATAATGGAATGTAATCCTATTTCTTCTTTAAAAACCTTCCTCACCGGCAAGGGCAGGACAATTTCTTACTTAATAATTAATAAATATAAATATAATACAAAGTTAAAATATAATATTCATTTATTATATGATTTAAAATGGAAATATTATTGTGTTCCTGGTGTAAGTCTGTTCTATTGTGGCGTTATTTTTTTCTACAATTTTAAAATGTTGTATTCAATTTTTGTTTAGAGAGTTCGATTCATATATTTATTTTTAAAATGTGCATCATGGGTGGTAAATTTGTTGAACCTAGTTATTTTCTGTTCGTTCTTTCGTTTTTAAAAATGTTTTGGTGGTGATTAAATTTTCTACCCTTTATTGATATTGTTGTTGGATTCACAACTGTGTAAGTTCTCACCTATTTTATTGCATTTTATTCAGGAAAAATCAGCTCACGGATAGATTTGGATTCAGAGGATGAAACCCTGAGGAGAGATTCTGAAACTACACTTAAACAAGAAATTGCTTGGGCTTCTCATCTCTCTTTACAGGTTTGCTTTGGTATAACCAAATTGATGAAACTTCAAATTTCAATATTGCTGCTTCTATTGGTCTTTGTTTCGTAGATCAGTAGTTTCGCCCTTGTTAATTGCATGAGTTTCAAACATTGGCTATTCTCTTTGAATTAAAAAATGTATAATGTTCATTTTCGTTCACAAAAGTTAATAGTCTTTTGGGCTTTGATGAAAAATCCCCTGGACTTTGATGAAATTCAGTTTTGTAGGGTTGAGTTACGTACCTTTTCATTTCTATTAGGCTTTAACAAATTTTATTACATATAATATTTTTATCGTTCCTTTATTTTCCATGTATATGCTTATGGTACTTGACACTGTACTACCGGTATGACAAATGAATATGAAGATGTCATTTTTTTTTTCAAAATTTGGATGTGGGTATGGGATAAGGAGTGTGTGTGACTTTAGGTTATAAATACATTTCTATTAATATTATTCCAGTTAAATTTTTTAAATGAAAACTTGTGACAGAAAAAATGCCTTTAGTGGTACATTATGCAATTACTCAATCAACTTTTTTGCAGAAATAAAATTAGTTATATTATTGAATTAATTGCAAACCAATAAAATAAAAAATCCCTTATTGGTTGACATGTACACGGTTTTGCTACTTCCTTTTACAATATTCAGGCCTGCCTGCTTCCTGCTCCCAAGGGAACTTCTTGTGCTAATTACGCCAGATGTGTAATCAAATCTTACAGGGCACACATAATATTCAGGTTTCACTATATGTTTAAGTTTTATATCTGATTTATTTGTCTTTCCTAGATTTTTTCATGAATATCGTTTTCTTCAATCTTATATTTATTTTCTTTAACTTTGTAATGTAGTTGTGGCTAAGGATTCCATTGATGAAGCCTGATGATGATTCTACGGAAAATCTGTTACTTTGGTGGTGAGTAAATATGTACATTAATGTTGTCTAGGTTCTTATATTCAATTCTGTAGTCAATTATGATCCATGGTTTACACATGGTTTTGGCTTTAAATTAAAAATTTTGGTTGAAATTGTTGAGGACACAAACAATTTAACTGACATGTGAGCTCAGGCAGTATGGTTAAACTCAATTCTTCTATTAAAATTATGATTCAGGGTGTACACATGGTTTTAACTGTAAAATGCAAGCGTTGGGTTGAAGTTGTTTAGTTAAGTTAGTCTATGATTTTCTTTTGCAATGAATTTAATTATGTTATTTTAAAATATTTTGTTTTGTTTTTCTATGGTACAAAAATAGAGCAGTTGGTGGTTACTTTGTTACTTTCCTTTAAAATGACTGGTATATTCTTTTGTTACTATTTCTAAACACAGTAGTTGTGTTAGAGTTTTATGATCTATGTTCTATAAGTTCCCAGTATTTTTTTATTCTTTATTTTTTATCGAGAACAGGGTTTAACAACTTTATCTGAATTTTTATATTCTTGATGGTAGGACAATTATTATTAAAGTCCAACTGCTTGACAGTGAACTTTTTGGTTCTTAAGTTCAACAATACACGATCCTCAAGGTTTGTATGTTTTTGTCCATTTTTTTTTTTTTTTACTTGTGTGTAACCTATATTTGTTGATGAGACTTTAATCTCTTTTTAGATAAAAATAATTGGATTCTGATTTAATTTTCTCAAGCCTTTTTATCCTGATTTTTAGGATGACACTTTCATCTGCAGGTTTGCAATATTTTTCCCATTAAGAACACCCGTTTGTGTGGGTCCTGGTTCTATCCTTGAAGTGCATTTTTGGCGCTGTTGTGGTCCTACAAAGGTTAAATATTATTTCCCTTCCAGCTTCTGACATTTCATAATTTGTCTGGCTCAATAATATTTGATTTCTATGGAATCTGAAACAGGTTTGGTACGAGCGGTGCGTTGGTACTGGGTTGGGCTTTAGAGCCTTGTATTCTGTAGAATATTGTCATAATGTTTACAGTAGTGCGAACCAAAGGGTGGAAAGTAAACTCTTCGTTGTCATTTTCAAAGGTTCTGGGAGAAAGCATTTCGTGGATCTCTTATTATATTTCATATCATTACGGGAAATTTTGTTGTACAATTAAGCTATTTATGTAAGTAGTTTTATAGCATCCACATTTATATTTTTTTACTGAACGGACACAGCTATGTGTCTCCATATAAAACATGACAAGCATTATCTTAAGAATTTTTTTTACAGCATCTTAAGTATGCTGATTAATCAGAATAAGTTTTTAATCAGAAATCATCCTTGGAATGTTTTTTAATGTAAATTTCGTCTACCAGAATTTCTTTTTAGTTAGGATCTTTAAATGCTAATAAGTTTATATAAATGGAGTAACAAATAGCTTCAAATACGGTGATTATGATGATCCAGAAAGAATTGGGTAAGTTTTTAAACAGTGGATACCGCACTCTCTGCAAAAAGTTTAGCGCTGAATCTGACTTTGCCAAAATGATTTAGCTATTTCCTAACTTTATTTTTACTCTAATTGATCGACGGTTTGATATTAAAAAGAATGTTAAATTTTCGGGGAGATTTGTGATTTAATGATGGGGACATGATAAAGACTAGAATAAGACTAGAATAGGAAAAACAAAGGGCTATTTATATTATTGAATATAAACCTAAATTGAAAAGAGAAAAGATTAAAGATGTGAATTGTTATTTATTGAATCTTTTATAATTTTGATGACAATTTTTTATATAAATTGAATCATTTTTATTAAGAAAATAGTTAAATTTTAATATATTTAAGTTTTGAAGTGATTAAAGAATCTTTGGATGTATCAAAGGACTTTTCTATCTTTTGTGAGTTGACTTTCTTGAAAAGAGTGATTATTTTTTTTTCATTTTTCACATTCACCTCTTGTTCTTTTTTCACAATCAAAAAAGTCAATTATGCCAACCTAAAATTTTTGCTACTTTCCAACCCTCGTTCTCACTAATTTTCTAAATTTCCACTAATTTTCTAACCCTAAATATCCTAAGTCAGCCCTTATACAAATGAGGTTTAAGGTTTTGAACGTCAAATTGGTAACATCCTTCCTTCATTATCTTTTTACCAAGTGATTACCTTATTGTTCATATTATTTGTTATTGTGTTGAATAATTGCAAAAAAAAAAGTTACAACATTTTATAATTGTGTTGAAAGTGATAAAAAAAAGAAATTTTGGATCGAATGATTAATGCTTTTGAACAATTTGTTTTAGATAATATATTAGTGTTCTTGAAGGACTGTTGTTAATGATATACATGATATTGTTGAGTAGCAAGAGTTTGTTGAGATGAAATATTTGTTTCGTAAAACAATTTGAGTAGAGTAATAACTCAAAGAAAAAGGAGTGACCAAGAATAATTCTACCAATTTTGTATCTTTAAGTTGGAAGGGCAAAAGTAAGAAAGATGGGGGTGCTACTTCTAGTAGTTCCATGCCTATTCTTTCAAAGACTCCTTCTAAGTCCCAAGAACAACCCTCTAAAAGAAGTAGAGATATGAAGTGTTTCAAGTGTCAAGGCCTAGAACACTACGCTTATGAGTGCCTTAACAAAAGGTCTATAGTTCTTAGAGAGGGATAATATATAAGTGAATCCGATGTTAACGAGGGAGAAGAGAATGAAGACATTGAAGAGAAGACTCCGAAGGAAGATTTATTGATAATTAGTGATTACTTGGTAGCTAATTGAAGCCTTGGAAGAAAGCCAAAGATAAAACATCTTTCACATTAGATTTTGACCACTAATACATTTGATGATTTTGAATTGTCTTCTAATGTTAAATATCTTTTACAGGAATTTCAAGATATGTTTTCAACAAGTGTGTAAGTGAATTACCACCTTTAAAGGAAATTGAACATCAAATTTATCTTATTCCGAGAGCTTCATTACCTAATAGGACAATCTATAGAAGTAATCCACAAGAAACCAAAGATATTCAAAGACAAGTGGATGAACTCATTAGCAAAGGTTGGGTAAAAGATAACATGAGTCCTTGTGTTGTCCCAGTAATTTTGGTCTCTAAAAAGGATGAGACTTTACACATATGTTTTGATTATAGAGCCTTTAATAACATCACCATTATATATAATTTGTATAAATTGTTAGTTATGTTTTTTGGCTTAACTAACGTTCCTAGCACTTTCATGAGATTAATGAACCATATATCGAGAGAATTCATAGGAAGTGAGAAATTTTTACGCTTTAACAAGTTTCTATAGGAGATTTGTGAAGGATTTTAATATATTGGCAACACCTCTCAATGAAGTGCTTTTGTTTCAAAAGGGAAGAGAAACAAGAACAGACTTTCAATGTTCTTAAGTAAAAGCTAATTAATGCCCCCATACTAACTTTGTCAAACTTTCAAAAATCTTTTAAAATTAAGTGTGATACTTTAAATGTTGGGATTGGGACTATGTTATTGCAAGATGGTCATCCAATTACTTATTTTAGTGAAAAGTTAAGTGGTTCTACCCTTAACTATTCAACTTATGATAAGGAGTTGTATGCTTTAGAGAAAACTTTTAAAACATGACAACACTACCTTTATCCCGAGGAATTTGTCATTCATAGTGACCATGAATCTCTCAAGTATCTCAAGAGACAAGGTAAGCTGAATAAAAGGTCAAGTAAGGTGGACTATGTGAAGAAACTTCATGAAAGAGTCAAAAGTCAAATTAAGAAAAGAAATGAAAGTTATGTTAAGCAAGCCATCAAAGAAAGAAAGAAGGTTGTCTTGGAACCCAAAAATTGGGTTAGGGTGCACATGAAAAAGGAGGGTTTCCATAACAAAGGAAATCAAAGCTTCAACCAAGGGAGAATGGTCCATTCCAAGTGCTTGAAAGAATCAATGACAATACTTACAAAATTGAGTTGCCCAGTGAGTATAATGGTAGTTCCACCTTCAATGTGTCAGACTTATTTCTTTTTTATGTAGATGGAGAATCCGATTTGAGGACAAATCATGCTAAAGAAGGAGAGAATGACGAGGACATAACCATGAACAAGGGTAATGATCACTTTAAGGACTTGGAGGACCTATGACAAGGACTAGAACAAAAACAAAAAAATCTCTTCAACAAGTGTTGTCCATATTATTTGAATACAAGTCCAAGTTTCAAGGAGAAAATATCAAAGATGTGAATTGCAGGTCTAAATGGAGGAGGACTAATGCAACACTTTGCTTTAGTTTTTAAGTGATTAGTTTGTTTAAATAATACTCAATCCTTTATTAAATTGGTTAACCAAATTATGCTTTGGGTCAGTTAATTAATAAGCTTTAGTTTAGTTTTATTTCAAGTTGTAATGAGGGTCCAATTAGAAACTTAGGCTTCAGCCTTTGGAGATAAAGAGAGTACATAGTTGGTTGTTTTTGGATGACTTTGGTTGTCACATCTCAGTTATAATCAGTCATTAATTAAGTAATTTTTTTTAATGAATCATTATTAACATTTATTTTTCTTTATTAAATCTTTTATAATATAAGTTGAACCATTTTTATCAAAAAAATAAGTTGAATTTTATTAAGAAATATTAGAATTTAACTATTTTATCTTAGTAAAAGTGATTTTCCTAAATTCTTGAATGATTCAATAACTCTTGACTATATAAAAAGAACCATTCTTTCTTTTCACCTTTCATATTAACCACTAATTCTTTATTCACCAGAATTCAAAAAACTCAATTATGTCAACCCAAAAATTTTCCTCCCTTTCTAATCTATCTCCTCGCTAATTTTCTAAAGTTTCTATATTAATCTTAACAGAAATAAAATTCCATTAACGGAAATAAAATTCCATTATAATACACGGTATAACCTGCAACGGGCATTGATAGCCAAGTAACAACCATCAAAATTGGTGAAAACTAGCTTGTGTATTCTATGCGACAGGAAAACTAGCTGATGTACGAGTCCAACATGAACTATTTCTTATTTATCTATACATTTGTGGGACACATATACTATTTAATAAATTTCATTAAATTAGGTTAAATTCAATCTCGAGTGAAACACATTTCACCACCTAAACTATAAGAAGTTAAGTCCGATTGAATTGAATTTTACTTTCATTAATAAAATAACATTCTAATCTATTTGAATTGAATATGCTCATTTCAATGCACTACTCTATTTCTTAGATGATAATTTTCCTGAAGATGTCAACAGAGAGATATTCCTAATAAATAAGGTAAATAATATGATTTTTTTTTCTCGCAAAGTTCGTTTCATACAGAAATATCCATTTTCCCAAATATTTTTCCGCTCGTCAATCTAGACTACCTTGTCTTTCAATAACCACATAAGTGTGTTCCACAAGTTACTAGTATATTAATACATTCCAAAATTTGCCATTACCCAGGCTTTGAAGGATAAAATACGTGTTGACATTTAAAAAGCACCAGGCAAATGGATTTACATGGTTGTATTGTACCGAACTACTTCATCCAACTTTTCTTTCAGATAATATATATCGGCCACTGAGTGAAGTTCTTAAACAACCTGGGATGAAACATTTGCAGTAAGTAGTGTTCCACGGAACCCTTCCTCGGTATGCTGCAGATCCGTTTTATCATCGCAAAGCTCGTCTGTAAAAGATTTTAATATAATTATGCAACTTAAATTTGCACTTTAACATATAAAAGAGACTTGTTGCATGTTCCCTGTGTCCCCTATTATAATAACATAATAAAATGACGAACCATATTGCCACTATCAGATAGCTTACCAGCAATATCTCGGTTTTCATGGATCTCAGAGTCTCTCACTATAATCTGATCTCCGGCAAAAATGTTCAAATCCGCGAGGGTAGCACATTCATTATCACTATCAATTATCCTATCCCCTTTATGTAGTATCTGGTTTTCCTTGACAACCTGGGAGAACAACTATCTTTTATTAGCAAATATTCTCTCGTGATAAAAGGATGCAACTAACATGTTCACCCATTTCATGTAGACAGATTATTACTACTATTCGTTTCCTCCATTTTATAATCCATATTTAGGGGAGTGTTTTGAAATGAAATCCTTTACACCTGCCTAGCAAACACAGAAGAATGCTGGTACAAATACAACTCTATATATATA